TTGCTGGGATTTGTATTCCTCTATAGCTGATGGTACATTGTGCTGTATATTATACATAGGAATACAAATCCCAGCAATACATTATAAACTGTATGTATAATGTACTATTGCTGGGATTTGTTGTACTCCTCTATAGCTGGTGCTATACTGCGCTGTATAGAGGACTACAAATCCCAGCAATAATACATTATACAGCACCATGCGGAATTCCACCAGCTATAGAGGAGCACAACAAATCCCAGCAATAGTACATTATACAGTGGTGCAATGCCGAATACCACTAGCTATAGAGGACTACAAAACCCAGCAACAGTACATTATACAGCGCAATGCAGAATACCGCCAGCTATAATGTACTATTGCTGGGATTTGTTGTACTCCTCTATAGTTGGTTATATTCTGCATTGCGCTGTATATTGTACTATTGCTGGAATTTGTAGTCCTCTATAGCCGGTGCCATTCTGCATTCATTGCTGTATAATTTTACACTTTCCATTTCACTATTTTGCACACCACACTATTTTTTTTCTTTTTTACTTCCACCGCTCCAAGCTTGCTCCTGTGATGGACTACAACCTCAATGCTACTCCTCTATAGCTGGTGCTATACTGCGCTGTATAGAGGACTACAAATCCCAGCAATAATACATTATACAGTGGTGCAATGCCGAATACCACTGGCTATAGAGGACTACAAAACCCAGCAACAGTACATTATACAGCGCAATGCAGAATACCGCCAGCTATAATGTACTATTGCTGGGATTTGTTGTACTCCTCTATAGTTGGTTATATTCTGCATTGCGCTGTATATTGTACTATTGCTGGAATTTGTAGTCCTCTATAGCCGGTGCCATTCTGCATTCATTGCTGTATAATTTTACACTTTCCATTTCACTATTTTGCACACCACACTATTTTTTTTCTTTTTTACTTCCACCGCTCCAAGCTTGCTCCTGTGATGGACTACAACCTCAATGCAAACTAGTAGTCCCTTTGCTGGAGCCATTTTTTTAAATGTATTTTATTGTTTATCCGATTAACCGATTAATCGAACTTAATAATCGGCTAACTAATCGATTTTGAAAATAATCGTTAGCTGCAGCTCTAGTCTGGATCCACCCAGCTGCGTGAGTGACAGCTGGCTTTGGCTATCTAGAGGCAGAGCCAGCTGTATCCGCCCGCTGTCCGTTCCGCCAGTCAGCTCTGGAGGATCGTACGGGAGGTGGGGGGAATCCCTGCAGGGAGCCCTGAGTGACGGCCACGGCTCTCTGCAGGGATAGATCGAGAAGTGAGCGAGCGACGGTATGTGTTCGCTCACTTTCCGATCTACTGAGTTGACCTGTGACAGTTTCATTGTCACAGGTCGGCTCAGATTATGAGGCTGAGTGAAAATCACTCGCCTCATAATTCTTCTTTTAAAGAGGAACTTTAAGGTGCCCATACACTGTGCGAATTTCGGGTAGTTTTGAGGAACCGCACTGTAGGCACCCTTTTAGTCGGCATCCCTCGATCAGCTGATCGAAGGAGCTGGCTAGGAAGTTTTCATACAAAAGGAGCTGGCAGCCAATGAGCTGCCCGCTCACATCAGGTATTATGGCAGCGGCCACTGTCAGAATACAATGCAAACAGAGGGGATTCCTCAAACGACACACTCCTAAGTGTTGCTGGAGAAATCTGCTCTATTTTCCTCGTTCAGCCCGTGGGTTGAATGAGGAAAATAGATCAGTGTATGGCCAGCCTTACCCATATTATTTTCTTCCCCAGTCTTCTGACAGAGGCCATTTTTACTAAGGGCAGATGAATCCATCTCCCTTTACTTCCTGGAACTCTGGCACATGCGGCTAGGACATGTGACCATGCACATCATCTCAGGGGAAGAAAATGCCTTTCCTTGAGATTACAGATGAGATTTCCCAGCAATGCTCTGCTGATGTAACCTCCCCAGAATGCAATGCTTGGCTTGGGTGCAGATTACATCACTAGAGCCCAAGAGGACCAGGAAGTGGAAAAGCAATCATTGTAAGTAAAAGAAAAATATGTTTAACTATCATGTAAGATGATTTTATATCAATACGTAGAGCTGCATGCTGATGTTATTTTAAGTCAAAGGGGGTAAAGGTCCGCCTTAAGTTTTTACCAAAACTATGTAGGACACACCTACAGCATACACTAGATTACTGTCAAATCAGACAGGCTTGTGCACTACATAATAGATCTGAATGTTGTGGTGCTGTGATCTGAGCACTATCTGAAGTTTTTGTATTGTGGCTACCAGTTCTCTATGGCTTTTTTGTTAGTTATGGAACCTGTTCAATATTCGTTTCCATTATGTGTCAGGATGTGATACGGTGTCACCGGGAGAGGAAGTAAAGGGGAATCCCCCTGTGAGGGACACATAGCAATACATATCTGTTAGAATTCCCAGTTTTTCTCCATGGCATCCAAATTGAAATGATTGTAGCTAGAGTTGTATATAACTTTTTCCATTTACTTTCTTTTTGTTATAACTTTTTCCATTTACTTTCTTTTTGTTATTTGTCATAGTTTTTTACCTTTTAACTTGTGTTTATTTTACTGCACTATTTTCATTTCCGTATTCTTCTGTTTTAGCACCTACACATGACGGTTCAGGCGTTGCAGGATGAGCTGCGAATCCAGCGAGACCTCAACCACCTCTTCCAGCAGGACAGCGGCGGGAGGTCCAAGGAACTGTTTACCGGCGAGTTGACCGAGGATAACTTCCGCATCCTCCATACGGAGCACGACCGCCAGGCCAAGGAGCTTTTCCTGCTGCGGAAGACGCTGGAGGAGATGGAGCTAAGGATCGAGACTCAGAAACAGACTCTGAACGCCAGGGACGAATCCATCAAAAAGCTGCTGGAGATGCTGCAGAGCAAAGGGATCTCCTCAAAGGTGATGGATGAGGACCACGAGAGGACCAGGAGGCTGGCCGAGGCCGAGATGCATGTCCACCATCTGGAGAGCCTGCTTGATCAGAAGGAGAAGGAGACCAACATGTTGAGAGAGGTGATTATTGAACACTGTAGCTTGATTACTACTTATGTCCCTCTGATGTCCTATGGACAAGGAAACCAGTCATGTTGTCTCTGCCAATTTGGAGGTTTGTCTGTGAAGGTTCTCATTCATCCAGGTCATGGTAGATCTGTAAAAGATAAGTAAAGGCAACTGGACTTGCTGTATTTTTCTTGAAGATGTTTCACTGATCATCCAACCAGCTTTCTCAATTCAGAATGACTTGTACAAAAAACTATCTGGGAATAAATATGGTGAACGTTGCTCCAATTCACACAATCTGTTAGTCACAACCAGGTTAACCAACTACACCTAAAGGAAAAAGGTCACTCCTTTTGAAGACAGTCAAATACGCATCCTAGACAGGGAGGTGGACTGGTTTAAAAGAGGTGTGAAAGAGGCCATTTATGAAAAAATTGAGAAGCCAAGCTTGAATAGAGGTGGGGGGTGAGACACCTCTATTGTCTGCCACAGACAACGTTGTTTTAACGCCTCTCTCTAGGCAGGTTAATAACACCTCCTACACTCCAATTATGCAAATGCAATCAACACCTGGTGGCGACTAACAGATTATGTGGATTGGAGCAACATTCACCATATTTATTCCCAGAATTATTTGCACAAGTCATTCTGAATTGAGAAAGCTGGTTGGGTGACCAGTGAAATGTCTTCAAGAAAAAATACAGCAAGTCCAGTTGCCTTCACTTATTTTTTACAGATAATTTGGAGGTTTGTCCAGGACCTGACAGCAGAAGGCATTAGGGCAGACGGGCAAGACAGGGAAGGGGAATGCTGTCTCTAAACAAACATTGTATGGTGGATTGTTGATTACATTAAAGTACATTATGGAGGGCAATTATTTATATTCAGTCCTGTAACGAGACCCTTACTATTGTGGCTGCCACCACAAAATACCCGGTGCTTTCAGATATGGGAGCGAGGGGAGCATGTGGCCTCCTCCCGTGATGTAGTACTTGGGCCTAGGGGCCAATCTCTATGATTGAGCAATGTCACTTGAAGTAATGGGGTGCATAACCGCTCTCTTTAAGTTGAGATACTACGTATTTTGTGGCAGCTGTGACAGGTGTGAATGTTGGTATTAAACAGCTCCTGGCACTTTGCTCTGTGAAGGTGCATTTAGATGAGTCATTACTGATGCAGCATCAACGTCAACATCATCCCTCATATATAAGCCAAGTGCTAATCCCAGTTGAATATTCCCACCCTCTACGGGGCACCCACATCTACAGTATCCTTGTTTCATTAGCTATATTTCATATACAGTATATATTTTTTTGTAAATGCTCCCTCTAGTGGTCATCTGTATATTGGGTAGTTTGAGTAGCATCCCTACAGATAAATGCACCCAAAGGTTACATTTATTTATAGGTGTAGTCTTTTGGGATAAGTGAGCCCCTGGCTTCTAATCTGGATACTCACACAGGAAGATCTCCCCTCTCTGGCTTTGTTCTTGTCCACCTGGGAATTTTAGATAAAATGTAAAAAAAAATCCTGCAGGGATTTTGAGAGCCCCTCGTGTACAGACCTGAGAACTCAGTGGAGGGATGGTGGGAGCCCCTCATAATGTGCAGAGCAGGTGTGCAGACCTGGGAACTCAGTGAAGGGATGGTGGGAGCCCCTAATAATGGGCACAGTAGGTGTGCAGACCTGAGAACTCAGTGGAGGGTTGGTGGGAGCCCCTCATAATGGGCAGAGCAGGTGTACAGACCTGATAGCTCAGCGTTCGGATGGTGGGAGCCCCTCATAATGGGCAGAGCAGGTGTACAGACCTGAGAACTCAGTGGAGGGTTGGTGGGAGCCCCTCATAATGGGCAGAGCAGGTGTACAGACCTGATAACTCAGCGTTCGGATGGTGGGAGCCCCTCATAATGGGCAGAGCAGGTGTACAGACCTGAGAACTCAGTGGAGGGATGGTGGGAACCCCTCATAATGGGCAGAGCAGGTGTACAGACCTGATAACTCAGCGTTCGGATGGTGGGAACCCCTCATAATGGGCACAGCAGGTGGTTATCTTTTTGCTGGTCAAATTCACACATATATTTAAAAAGAAAGAAAAACAGACTGACTTTTCTTTTAAAGCATATCTAAAACCAATAGAAAGAAATGTAATATATTTCAGCTTACCAGCCCTCGTTTTGATTTTGTCAGGTTTTTTCCATTTATTTTCTCCAGGTATTCCCACGAGTACAAAAATAACCCCAAACTTCCTGCCCTGGGGTGACAGCACTCACTCACTGTACTGCATCTATTGGAAAGCATAAAGTTGTATCACTCTAGGACAGGGAATGTCCTAGGACTACAGAACACCTGCTCTTCTCCATAACATTGGAAAGGGGTTGTTCTGTAGTCCTATGGTAAATAGGAACAATATAACTGATAAGAATGCTGCAAAGGAAGCTATTAAATCACAAGATTACTGGCAGATTTTTCTCCACTTATTGAACAGAAATGACAAAACACGTACAATGCTATATATATAAAAGACCAAAAGGGAGCAAATAAGAGAAGTTCATTGTTGGAGTTTATATACACTCTAGGGTATAATATTTGAATAGTTTCTTCATGATACCAAATTTGACCCTCAGGAGGTGCTGTAAGGGACATTGTAAATCGCTGATGAACTGGGAAAGGGGGACCAGTCTGGGTAACCACACAATGGCCTCAGAAACAGCAGGAAAAGTTCAATAAAGCTGCACAGATGCCGGCAGGATGAAGGCGATGCCACCTGAGCACTCGGCGACGGCCCTGGTGGTGCAGAGGTTAACACGCTCCCATCTTCCCAGCTCTGAGCACCCGGGATACATGAAACAGACGGCTGATTTCCTGTTTCCACGGTGATGGTCACCATGACTACTGCGGGTGTCAGATAAATAGTCTTTTCTCCATCGCTGTAAATAGAATGTGCAGGGTAGGCTGGGAGGCCCGGGAGAGGAGAGGATGGAATCCGTGTCAGCGGCCTTTATCTGCTCCCATTCTCCGATGGGCTCTCCTCCCAGGACAAATAATTGTCACTTTATTGCCCCCTGACAGCCGGTGATCACATATTTTGTTTGAAGCATTCTACAGAATCCAGATAATCATTGCTCCATCTGGCCAGTTTCAGCATGGGCATTGGAGTGGAATGCAGTCTGGTCTCTTACACCCTCACATACTATGTGTCCTGACCATGTTCCTACAATAGATCATACAAAGTAATGACACAGGAAACTGGGGACAGGATAAAGGTTCAACCTGTGCAGGGGTGTAGGAAGAGAGACTGCAGCTTGATCTGGGTATAGCCTGGTTCAGATGCCCTTCATTGTCCCTTAAAGCTTATAAGGCCTTTCCTGGTTCCTCCTTACTCTCCTCATCAACATGCTAAAAACGTTTTCAATTAAACTTTTCTGTTTTCATTACATACATTATATTAGTTCCAGTGACATCATCATTGGGTATCTGTGCTTACCTATGCAATGCATAGGTGGGAGGGGCTGGCAGGGTGCTTGTCATAGCTTCCTGAAAACATCATGAACACCCTGCCTCAGTACTTCCCTTAAAAACCCTCACCTCTGATGCAAGCTCTGGGATGGCTTTTGGGAGGAGTTCTGCAAATATCAAAATGACCTTATGGGTAGGTGTCTCTTGGAGGAGTGGAAGTTCTTAGGTAGGTGGAAGGGAGGGGCCCCGTTTTATTGGCCCCTGGAACTGATTCCTTCCAGTGTAAAGCTAAAATTCGGCTTTACACAGGTAAACAGACTCCTGGGGGCTATGGCCACCAGGACTGTGTTCACAAGGGCCCCACAGCCAGCACCATAAGGCCTACGGTAGTGAAAGGGTCAAAGCATAAGAGCTTATCCTTTAGGCTCCTTTTATATTTTTATATATATATTTATATATGCACTGAGTGGCCAGATTATTATGACCACCTGACGTTTGTAGGCTAATTCGCTATAATTTTGCGCTGAAGTTGCTAGAGGGCCACACCATTAAAAATAGGGAAGCAGGTTGTTTACCACGACAGTAGAAGTGATTTTTTTCTGAAGATTGGGTAAACAGCGCAATTTAACAACCTTTGAACGTGGGATGATTGTTGGCGCTCGGAGCCATGGAGGGAGTATCAGCAAAACAGCAGAATTCGTTAAATGTTCAAGAGCAGCTGTTGTTAAAGTGTTTAAAGACCGGACTGTCAGCCGAAAATCTGGGTCTGAGCGTGCGAATTGTGGCCGTCAGCGACTAGTCAATGTTAGAGCAGAACGGAGAGCGGCAAGACTGGTACAAGACAACAGAAGGGCAACAGTGCAGTGTCAGATGTCGCGAGGCGGCCCAACAAAATCATCTCGTGGAGTCATCTCGTGGCCCAACGAAGTACTGATGGGGTGGTCATAATAATCTGGCAACTCAGTGTATATACACATACTCCTCAATAGCCACAAATGATATAAATACACTTTGCACACTTTTCCGCAGCACAGATTAAATGTGTTGGAGTGATGCGGTTCAACGTGCACAGCCGTGTCATCCTTTTCACAGATTCTTGAATCTGGCAATATAGGGACTACAATTCCCATCTGCCAGCACGGCATAGGGACTCGTAGTTCTGAATGGCGTTCGACTGCAGTGACGTCCACAATGGTAGGGCTTTGACACTTTCTCCCGTCCCTCTAACTGAAAGTCCCTATCTCTGTATGGACAGGGACTGGGAGGAATAGTCTGCAGGAGCCATAGCATGGCACCCGTGATGCATTGATGGTGGTTGAATGAGGTAGTACAGTTTATGCTTCCACAATCACTTTCCATATGCAATCATGGTGGCATTTATCCAAGTTTTTTTTTCTTTGACAGTTTTTAGATTTATCAATTCCTGTTTTTTTTATCATTTAAACCCCCAACAATGAATTTCTCTTTATTGCTATCGGGTTTTTTTTTTCTATTTAAATATACTATTTTGTTATCAAGAAATCCAGAAATTGTCAGAAATCCAGTGAGCTGGTAACTTCCTGTGCTCCCTGCTGGTTTTTTATTAGTTGCATTGTTCTCGGCTATCTCTGAGGATTATAGAACCCCTCCCGTCATATTATGAGAAGAGCAGACAGGTAGGTGTAATGTGGTCCTGCCTTAGGGTGACAACGCTCTTTCCCCTAGGAATGGGGGAGAGAGGGTTGTGTTCATAGTCCTGTCTTGTTTCTGTTGGTCTGATGTAGAAATGTGAGTTGTTGTCACCCCAGGACAGGAAATGTGTTACTGGCAGGATTTCTAGGTGAAAATAAAGTGGAAAAAAACTAATGCAGCCACCTCATCTATGGACCGGTAAGGTGCAATGTATTACATTCTTCTTCTTATGTGTAGTTATACTTTAATGCTGCTCACATATTTATTAAATCGTTTCGGGATCAGATGATGAGATTGATGGGCCATAGAAATTTTTTTTTTTTGCTTAGCTCCATGGTAAAGGGCTCATTCTACCTGTGATGGAGATACGGGTCAGACCTCCATGTGTTTTTTGTTTTTTTGGAGGACCTCCATATCCAACAACAGCCACTTCCTATACAGTAGAAGCTTACAGATACTCTGCGGTATATGACTTAGCTTGGGCTCTGAGCTTCACTCTGGATCTGAAGGGGTTAAAGACATCCCCTGATTGTCACCTCCATTAACCCCCCCAGGGAAATTGCAGAGTCCCGTCCGGCCCGTGAGACTAGGCGTCCTCCTTTCTCTAAGGGTTTTCGTTTTTTTGTCACATCACGTCACCTTATGTGCGAGAGCCCGGCTGTGCTTAGCGCTGCTATTAATGGGTCAGGTAGCTGGCGGCTCCTCCCCCCTTTCCCTGCGATGGAGCGAGTAGCTCCTCCGTCTGCCACCTTGGGGCCAGAATGAAATCTCACCTGTGATGTTTTCTTCCTCCCCGCAGGAAATCCACCGGCGCTTCGAAAATGCCCCAGATTCTGCCAAGACGAAGGCCCTGCAGACCGTTATCGAAATGAAGGTATGATCATTAGAAAACTCTGAGTGTTGATGGCAGTGTGAGCGCCCTGGCATCCATTTATACGAGTCCCGTGTTCGGTTGTTCTAGATGTAAAGATCGCAGATACTCGCTCTCCAGCAGTGGAAATTTCGAGGGCCGGAAATAAGACCAGACAGGGAGGGTTTGCATTAAAACTCAACGATAAAAGGGAAACTTTATTCTTACAACTGTCTTCTAAATTGACCAATTTTTCCGAATTTAATTGAGTGCAAGATTTTGGTCATTTATTAGGATTCTCTACCGCAGGGATGGGCAAACTCCGGCCCCCCTGCCTGGGGTGTCAACTATAAATCCCATGAGACATTGCAAGACTGACAACCACAGGCATGACTACCAGAGACAGGTGCATGATGGGATTTGCAGTTTCACCACAGCTGGAGGGCCGGAGTTTGCCTACCCCTGCTCTACAGTTTCTTCTTCCTCAGGCCATTTTCCCTCCTTAGGAGTGTTCACATCTGACATTAAAGTGTCACACTAGCTTGGTGCCAGTATGATATTGTAAAGCAGGGCAGTGCAATAATAAACATTGTGAATAGAGTTCATTCCCAATATGAATATTAAAGTGAGCCTGGACTTGTATATATTAATAAAAGTAACAGGTTCTCTTTTTAGCAGCCATTGTAAGAAGGCTTTATTGGGCTTTCTGCCTAGGAGCCCTGAGAAAATCCCAGGAATTCAGGTAACGCATGACACTCCCCCCGCTTTCCATACTGGAGCGGTCTGTGCCAGCATACGCCAGGCCCCAATTTTTGTCATATGAGGTAGGATGGGGGCATGCTTGGCCCCTTCTCAGGAAGTGTAAATGTACACTTGAGTGTTTGGGGGCCCTGGCAGCAGATCAAGGCGGCAAGGTACCGCCAAGAACGTAAATACAAAAAAAGCCTTACTGTGCCTGCTGTAAACCTGTTTTTTTGGCTACTAAAGATTTCCCTTTGTCACTAAATCATTTTGAAGGGCCACTATACTTAAAGCGTATGTCAAACCAATCACACTTAGTTGTGGAGAGGGAGTGGAACCCTTGTCGGGTTTTAACTTCTATCCAGGGGAGCTTTCCCCATACTTCCTGTCCCAGTGACAACGGTTTCGCCAGACAGGAAGTGAGGGCAAAACTGCAACAGGTACAAAGAAATAAAAATCTGACAGGGTTTCTAGTCTTCCCCTACTCTAATAGTGAAATATTATTCCTGTCTTTTTTGTTGTTGTTGGAGAGTTCTCCTCCCTTCCTGTCTGGTAAAACATTGTCAGCAGAGCAGGAAGTTAAGGGAAGGCTTCTTAACGGAGCCCCTGATAGCAATAAAAACTCATTTAAGGCACATGTGTCAAACTCAAGGCCCAGGGGCCGAATCCGGCCCACCAGGCCATTTCCTAGACTTCTACTTTCAGATCTAGGTATTAAGTTATTACTAAAACCAGTGATAATCGAATGCAGAGGCAATTATGATAAAGATTAGGTTCATTTATATAGTCTTAAAGATACCTTTTGAGGGCAACCATAATGTTGATGCGGCCCTTGATTAAATTGAGTTTGACACCCCTACATTAAGGGTTCCACTCTTTCCCCACTCTCTCCACAACTAAGAAAAAAATGTTGTCTTGACCTACACTTTACTTATAATATTTTATGAGCTAATTTTATATGTTTTTAGAGGATAATAAGGTGTGAAGTATAGAAAGCGGCAGCCATCTTTTTTGAACAGGCAAGGTTTGTTATACCTGTACGGATGCCTAGTCCTGAGGGTGAATCACAGAAAACTATAGTTAGAATTCAGGATTTGTGGTCATAGTAGATTACAGCCCTTTTCAGTTTATTCAAGAACTTCCCACAAATGTAGTGTAGTGAATGGCGTACGTACCTAGTTGTATAAAATTGAACATTTCTCTATTCTGGGTATAGTGGTCCATCGTGGCAAGAATTTTTCCATCAAAGCAACTTCAATTTGAGCGTTTCATCCTCTATTCTATTATCCTCAGTCATATCTGTTAAATCATTTCATGAAAATCTCTCAACTGCAATTCATAAGGAAAAATTACTGACCTGCTGGAAAATTTTGGCCTTTCAAGAGCAGAGGACGTCTGAAATTGTGGGAGTGAGCAGTTCACAGCCATGCCAATGGATTGATTCATTATGCGGATGGTTTTACTTAAATGCAAATAATGGAAAAATGAAGGCTTTGATTTTGCATATCATATCTTCTACCTTTTTGGTTCATGAAAAAGGTTGCATAGTTAGTAAGGTTGAAAAAAAGATACATTATTGCGTTCAACCAAAAAGTACCTCAATGCAATAACACACCATCGGGTATAAAATAACATCAATACATTTTTAACAACGTAAAGCTGAACTTCAGGCAAATGGCTAAACACACTGATGATGGTTCTGACTCTTTTTGTCCTTCCAGTGCTAAGATTTACATGACACATCTCTGTCTGGCAGGGGATAAGACTTTATTTTTCTCTGCTGCAATTAACACCCACAGGTCTTATTTTTCTCCCACCCTTTGACTGGACAGTAAAAAGAGAAGCAGCAAACGGATGAGCTCATCTCTAAAGCTGGCCATACACCTTACAATTATCTGCAGATTTTCTATGGTCAGATGGAAAAGGTGGAACAGATTCCTCCATTTACACTTAACTGTGTGGATGGAGGAACCTCCACCTGGGCCAAGCTTCAGTATCTTGTTAGTCTGCCCTGCTGGCTCCCAAAATACCTGAACACTCTGATTGGATGCAGGCATTGTTCAGGTGTTTTGAGAGCCAGCGGGGCCGACTAGCAAGATACTGAAGCTTGGCCCAGCAGGAGATTCCTCTATCCACACAGTTTAGCATAGATGGAGGAATCTGTTGTACTTTTTCTATCTGACCAGAGAAAATGTTCAGATAATTGTAAGGTGTATGGCCGGCTTTACTCTACTCTCTCCTCCTATTAACATGTTGGTTCTTCACACATGGACAATACAGCTCTACTGATTGATTGATTGATTGAGCTGTCTCTCCTCCCAATTTGAGCTCTGCTGTACAGGGGGCTGCGAGAGGCTGATATCAGGTCAAATGCTTGCATTAAAAAATACATTTAATGACATAATAAATGCAAAGCTGCATTACAAATATTAATATCTTTTATATGTGTCCCGAGTTGAGCTTTAAAGGGGAGCTTTGCTTGAAAAAGAAATGTACTGTAAGGCTGACCTGACTAAAGCAGAGGTTTCTGCATGTTCCTTTTTCTATGTTCTTAAGTCCCATGAGAGTGGGGAATGGGGAGCTCTATTAATTGTCAGCTTCTAGCTCCAGAGTTGCATCCTTCTCTTCATCCTTTTGAGCCACTTTAACCAGTTAAAGGTGTTCCAAAGCCAAAGTTCCAGAATGTATTTGCTCCCAAGACAAAAAAATACACTGTATGGCCAAAAGTATGTGGCTACCACAAATTATTGAGTTCAGAGGTTTCCAAGGGAGGGTATTGTTAATGTTGCAGCATACAAAGATATTTGTGCACTTCCAACGTAGTGGTAACAGTTTGACTGTTCCAGCATGACTGTGCATAAAGCCAGATCCATAAAAGCATGGTTTCACCTGTGTGTTGTGGAGTAACTCGAATGTCCTGCACAGAGCCCTGGCCTCAACCCTACTGAACAGCCTTGGGATGAATTAAAACACAGACTGCAAGCCGGGTCTTCTCGTCCAACATCAGTACCTGACCTCACACATGGACACAGAATACCTTAGACATACTCCAAAATCTTGTGAAAAGCCTTCCCTAGAAGAGAGAAGGCTTTTCCAGCCACAAACGTGGGTCAAACTCATGTCAATTCCCATAGTTTTGAAATGGGATACCCAAGAAGCTAATTTAAGATGTTGGTGATGATCAGGTGTCAAGATACTTTTGGGCACACAGTGTACTTGCAATATATAGGTTCAAGAAAATATTATACTTTGAAAACTTTTCATTTATGATTTCATTTTTCCAAATAAAGCCTGAATCTTGTGTCGCTTATCTGAAATGCAGCTCCACTTTTCCAAGGCACCTCCAGTCTAGCACAGTAGGTTGCAGTGGTGCTCATATGTGGTGCTGTGATGTGGAAACCGTAACCTACACTTAGATTTCCTTTAGAAGAACTAGGCGCAGATAATACAGTTAGAACAATGTGCCAATGTTGGTTGTGTTGGCAGGTACACGTGTAGTCCAGCAGATGATTGCAGGCATAAGGGGGACATCGCTGATGGCAGTTTTAATGATGGTGTATCAGTTTTATCACCTCAACCAAAGAAGTGACTTGGCAACTGCTTTTCTGGCAGGATCAACATGAGCTATCACATTAGAGATAATCACATATTCAGTACATTTCTGCAATAGATCCACATTTCTCCATGTTTTCTTCCTTTTATAAAATGCTGCAAGCACCAAAAAATACCTGATCTGCCAGAAATCCAGTAAACGTCTTCCTGTTTGAGCTGACAACTTTACCTCTTCTGGAGTGAGTCTGTTAAATAGACTCGCGAATAAGGCCCATCCCAGTTTCTGGTTAAATGTTCATTCCCCTTCTTGCAAAAGCCACTGGTACCTGATGTTAGACTGAGTTTATTCCAAAACATTGTCCTACTTAAATATCCTTAGCCCTTCCAAAAACCACCTAGAGAGAGGATGTGTACCAACATTGGTCCAGGTCATGCACTTTAAGATGCAGTGGTTTTAGGCTACTTGCCAGTGTGGCAAGTATGCCTGAACAAGAAGGGGAACATGGCTGCTGCTGAACATTTTCCATTGTCCATTCTGCCATCAGATTGTCCTAAATTTGGTTAGGTGACCCATGTAGCTTTAGCTAGTCATAGTGGTCTAATAGAGTAGCATAAGCTGCTCTGGAAATTCGTAGTCATGGCATTGTTTCCCTGTAGGACTCTAAGCTCACGTCGATGGAGAGAGGACTGAGGGATCTGGAGGATGAGATCCAAATGCTAAAGTCCAACGGAGCTTTGTCTACTGAAGAGCGCGAAGAGGAGATAAAACAAATGGAGGTCTACCGGAGTCACTCCAAGTTCATGAAGAACAAGGTAATCTAGCTCTGCTTGGTGCGGTGGATGGTCGTCTTCACTGACTCTTTAACATTACGAAGGGTGCCTTTGGTGTCTGCGGCAACAATGACTAACCTGTAGTGATTTTGCTCCTCCAGAGTTGAATCATAACCCCTCCACCACTAAAATGTTAGACAGAATAAGTAACTTCAGATCATAAGATTTCATTTGGTGTTTCGGTTGGACAGATTTTAGATCTCATTTGCATTTATGCTCTTTAACTTTTTTCCTGCCTGAGTGCAGTTTTAAAAGAGAAGTATGAGGTAACCTTTTTATCCCATAGTTCTCTTAAGGGTCACGCGAGGACATATTCTAACGTCCTCCCGTGACTCAAAGCTCTGTATATAGCGAGCTATTGCTCACTATATACTGAGAGCGCCGTAGCTGGGACCGATCCCGACAGTGCTGTCGCGATCCACCCAGCTGGCTGATTGACAGCGGGCTCTGCCTATCTAGCGGCAGAGCCAGCTTTACCAGTCAGCGCCGGAGGATCAGAGTGGGGAGGAATCCCTGCGGGGAACGGTGACTGGCGGTCACCGCTCTCTGCAGGGACAGGATGGAGAAGTGAGCAAGCAACGGTATGCGTTCGCTCACTTCCCGATCTATAAAGCTGAAATGTGACAGTTTCAGTCATTGTCACAGGTCGGCTCTAAATATGAGGTTGAGTGCAAATCACTCACCTCATAGTTCTCCTTTAAATCAAACGTGTAGAACATAAAAATGTTTGCTTTAAGGCCCTCCTTCCCTGAACCATATAGTCCCCTTTTTTTTGCTCCTCCACTTCTGCACCTTTCAGACTTGGGAGCAAAGAAAGTAACCTTAATTTTCAGGTATGGAGGAACATGTGATGCATTCCCCTTCCTGTCATGCCAGTAATGGTGTTTGGTGATTGGATAAAAGCTGTCAAATGGAGACAAACATCAGCCCAATATCAGTTCTGACTGGAGCTTCTAGGAGCTTACACAGGGCATTTGACTGGGTGAAAGGAGGAAGGTAAGTGGAGAATAAACGTGAAGTTGCCCTCCAGACTGCTACTTTAACTAGATAATGCTGATCACAGTAACGTGTACCGGAGACAATCAGCAAGGCATCTGCTGATGTGAAGGCTATGATTGGCCTTTTTGGACCAAATGTTTAGGTTAGTTGTAGACTGTTTTTTTAGAGTTATAGTTAGGATAGGGATACTACTAACAGTAACACTTCAGGAGAAATAATTTTATCTTTTCAGGCCTAAAATGTGGAATATAACATGGGTGCAAAAATTGAAGAAAGGGCCTCAGTCATGAAGGGGTTAAAATATGCTTTTCTTGTCCCCTTAAGGACAAAGTAAGTCTTTAACCTTTGGGTTATAAGGCAGCCTACAGGAGAATTGCACACGGGGAAACAAAAAGCTGTAGGACAGCCCAGAATAACCCCTCCCCCTACCAACTTGCTTGTGTGCAAGGAGAATGGTGGTCTTTTCTACAGCTCTGCTGTGTGAAGATGTGAAGACTAACTTTTTTTTTTTCCCTTTAGTACTTTTATCTTGTTTTATTATTTTTCTCTACATCGCTGCTGGAGCGTTGCCACTGATTGCAGTTTTCCAGCACGGTCATCCTCTGTTTGGCTTTTGGAGTACTGCATATGGCCCCCACTGGACTGGTTGTACAGGAATAGCCTAAAAGTGATCTTTCGGCATTGGACTCCACATAGGGCGCTCTCCAGACCCTGTTCTGGTAAAGGTTAGCTACGGAGAGCTTTCCAGGTCCAGAGCTTTTGGGATTGGCTCTGGATAGCACGGTCTCTGAAGGCGTGATCACTCCGGTGTTTGTAAATAACTGGGGACACATAGGGGGTTATTCACAAAGCTGCCGAAGGGAGCCGTGTGAATAACCAACCCGAAGTGAAGTGAGCCGAACGCCGTTCGGTTATTCACTTCAGGCTTGTACAGCTGATTTCAGCTGTACACCGACTGAAATCAGCCGTACAACGGCTTGCTGCGGCTGGGTTCGGGTCGGTCGAAGTGCAGAAGGAGTTTGACTCAGCTGATCCAACATCTGGATCGGCTTAGCCGAACCTCCGGCAGGCTACTCGTTGCTGTTCGGCCTATTCTCATAGGGCCCAAACAGCAGTGAGTGAATAGCCGAATGCCGGAGAGCGCCCTTCGGCTCAGCTATTCTATTCTGCTCGGTACCTCTATGGCAGCGTTTTTCAACCACTGTGCCGCGGCACACTAGTGTGCCGTGAGATATTGTCTGGTGTGCCGTAGATTTAAAATATATGGTTTGGGGGGTCTTTTACAAACGCTAGCAACGCAGCAGTTGAAAATCAAACCAATAGGAAAAAATTGCAGAAAATTCAAAAATGGCTTGGCCAGCTGATTTGAAAAATGTTCCAGGGGGCTTGGCAGCGAAAGGGTTAAAAGAGATTTAACTGCTGCCCAGGTTGATCCGTTGTATATAGAACATGTAAAGCAGATGGCTGTAGCCTTAACTTTTTGCTGTGATGGTTTGCTAGAAGCCTCCTGCATCCTGTATCTCATGTCAATTTATGTGTGTGAGGCACTTTGGCTAAAGTGCTGGACTGCAGAACTCTTGTGTAAAAAGCATTTGAACCACATGGCCTTCAAGAGACAGCATGCCTTCGAACTAGCTCTTTAAAACTGTATTAAGGATGCTGCTGGTGACAAAGGAACCCATCTTCCGCTGCAGAAAAAAAGCTAGAAGCAGACTATAAGTTCTAATCCCTCCTATCTGTTAAGAAATGTCCCTTTTTCCATTACACATTTTCACCTCTCAAACTTTGGCACAGTAGTTGCCTCATCCTTCCTAACTCATTTTCATACAGGAAATTGAACAGACTTTGAGTAATGTGGATACGATGCCCCTTTTAGTACTTGCTGTGCTTCCTTAAACTTTATACTTTGATCTTACTTTTGAAATCCCAAATAAAACCTTAACTATATAAAAAAAAAGAATGTAATGCCCCTTTCGATTTTGCACTCCCTTTCTCAAGTGGACATTCAAGTTTCACCAAATCCCAAAACAAGTCGTCCTCTGAATGAAGTGTTATCTTTGTGGACACTTGAACAGTTTTGGTGCAGGAGGTGGTCTCCCAGGGCTACAAACTGGATTTTTGCTGCCATCCCTCTCCTCTGTTTCTTAACTCCAACCTTCCTGTTTCACTGTACAGATTAGCAGACTTCCTTTGAGCCCTCTCAGTTCTTTTAGATCAAGTTTTCATTGCCTAAGTTCATGTGACAGAACAGTTCTACTCCAGTTTGTTCATCTTGTCTAATGTCAAAGGAAGCATTTACCCTTTCTGGATATCAAAGCTCTAAATGTCTTTTATTTGATGCCAAAAATTCTGCTTAGAATTTTGCAATGGTATTGGGCCTCTCGTCTGCACCACAGGTATTCACCAGCCCTGTTGGGGACAGTTGGTGCCGGCTCTTTAGGGCAACATGAAACTGACCATCCAGATGTTACACCGATGGATCCTGAACCTTGAGAAATCTTTATTGGAACCGATTAAGAATATCTTGGTCTAGTCCTGGACACAAGGTCAGGGTGTTCCTTCCAAAGAAGAAACTTCAAGCACCCCGTTCTAAACTGCAAACTCCAGTCTAGAAGTCATCTCACTCTCTGCTTCTGCATGAGGGTCCTAGATCTGAAGATAGCCTCTTTCAGGGCCTTCCCATTTGTACACTTTTACTCCAGATTACATTCTGTCATCGTGGGACAAGTCAGTCCGGTCTCTGGACAGACCATTTCATCTGTCGCAGAGGACCAGAGTTTCAGGAATCCAGCTGTACGATCGGGAAAGTCCCTCATGCAGTTCTTAGCGAGCCCCTCTGCAGGGGTGGTTTTCAAATTTCCCTGGAGTTCAGCTTTAAAGTACAGGTGTATTTATGCATAGAAAAGTACAGTATGTTTCCCACCTGGCTAGTATACCAAAAATCAGACCACAGATGTAGAATAGTCCCCCTAAAGGTGCCCATACACCTGCCGATTATCGGACGATAATCGCGGGTGATGTAGAAACAGTCTCACGTCTTTTGTCTCCCGAGCAGGCTTAAAAAACCCGCCGAGAATCATAAGATTGTCGGCGGGTTAGTGGCGTTCTCGGGAGACAAATGCCACACGAGCGACTTGCATTTAATTTTATTTTTGGCACCTGTGCTCTATTGCACAGGAGAGAGTACAAGCTCCATACAGTGAAAAGACAAGCAGTGTAAAGGTAGACCTAGATGCATCAGAAGTCATGTGTGTTCTTGTTTTTGGTATTCTAGCTATGGGGGGATCCATGCTCGTTTAAAAAAAAAAAAAGTTTCCACCCGTATTATGCGCTGTGTTGACGCAACACATTATCGTGCATTAGGATGTGCTGACAAACTTTTCATTTTGAATGATCTGGCGCGCACCTTAAAGCAGACATTTATCTATGTCTTTAAAATATCAACAAACAGACCTTTAGAAATGTTTCGTAATGACAATCTACAAGCACATACTTCTAGATAATTGCCGACTTTTTATTCTTTGCATTCCTTATTTCTCTTTTCTTGCCCAGTCTTCTGACAGTGGCCATGTTTACTAAAGTCAGATTACTAGATCTTCAATTACTTGCTTGATTTCTGGCACATGTGACCAGACATGTGACTAGAACATGTGACCATGCACATCATCTCAGGGGAGAAAAAATGTCTTTCCCTGAGATCTCGTGAGATTACAGTTTTTCCAGCAATGCTCTGCTGATGACCAGGCAATCCCAGTGTGCATTGCTTTGTCAAACTAAAGTCATTTTGCCCTTTCAAAGCAGGAAGTGAATGCTCTTAAAGTGCAAGTGTTTCCAATCACAGCATTTTACACCTGACATGTCTGTTATTATTAATCATCATATATAGAGGGATGCATTGGTAGAATTTGATTTTTGAGTGTAAAAGTCCGCTTTAAGGCAATGCAAAACAGACATGATTCCTCTTCTTCCTTTTTTTTTCTTTCTTAAAGTAGTGCACCACAAGCATGGCATTGGCAGTTGTGGTATGCTGCAGTGCAGGTAAATTGACCACTACTATATTAGCGTGTCAAACTGAATGTCACCAAGATTTATGCAATGTTTTGCCACACATAACCATGATGGAATGAGTTGGATGGGCCCAAAGGGTTTCAAAATACAACCACAATTAACCTCTTGCCGTCCGCCCATAGTAAAAAAACGGACGGACGGCACTGCAGCATCTGCGGGTTGCCGTCTCCAGACGGCAATTTTTTTCTGCTCGCGCGCGCCCCCCTAGCGGGCACGACGGGCAGAA